TGGAAGGCTTCGAGGTGGTATGGCGGAGATGTTTCGTGAGTGTCTGAAGAAATTGTTGGGTTCACCGTTGATGCCAGATCTCAGGTTTGGGATTTCTCTGCACATTCATGGGGAGCCACTGCCACGACTCGTAACAGGTAGTGTGACTATGATTATTCAAGATGAGAGGGCCCACAAATTCTCGACAGCTGTCAAGGGCGTTGGAGGCCACAAGCTATGCGCTCTCTGCGCCAACGTGGTCGGCTTTCGATGTCCATGGCTTCCTCGCCCTGCGCTCGTATCATCTAGCGAGACCGACGTCTCGAAGTTCAGGCTCTACACGGACGACGACATCCGAGCAATCCAACGACGGTTGCGCAGGGAAGCTGCGGAGGGCACGAGGGAGTCGCTGGAAGAATTGGAGACGCGCTTAGGCTACAACTTCTGCGAAACGGGAGTTCTCCAGGACTTCGATATCAACCTGCCGCTTGCATCCACGTGGTGCTGGGACTGGATGCACACGTATTTGGTTGACGGCGTGTATGTGAAGGAGATAGACGAGCTGCTTGCTCGGTTGAAACCTCACAAGCTCGGCTCGGACAAATTCGACGTTTTTCTTCAACAGTTCGTGTGGCCCCATGCTTACGCTCACTCCAAGAAGTTATGCCGTTCTAAAGCAGACCATTCACCGAGTGGATCTGCATCCGAGTACCTCTCCTCTGCGCCAGTTCTGGCAAAGTATCTGCGGGGCACCGTGGCTCCGAAAGGATGCTGCCCCAAGGAGGTCGACAGCGCCCTCGCGCTGACAGAGGTGCTGGCTATGCTCCAAGTCGTCAACAGCGGCGAGGTGAGCCCAATCGATTTGGGCAAGGCGGTGGCGCGCCATCTCAGCCTTCACCAGAATGCATACGGCCTCTCTCTTTGGAAAGGTAAAGAGCATTACGCTCTTCACCTACCGAGGCAGTTGGCTAGGCACGCCATGCTTCTGAGCACTTTCATCCAGGAGAGGAAACATAGGATCCTCAAGACCATCGCAACTGCGAGGCACAGTCTTCAAGAGTATGACCGTTCCATGCTCGAGGAAGCGACGTTGCAACATTTACACGATTTGGAGACTCACACGCTGGACAAGCCTGCGCTTCTTCGCCCAAAGGCTCCAGCGAATAGGATCCTTCAACAAGTGAGGCAGTTCTTTCCAACGTTTGCCAAAGATGATGTCCGCACCTCGCTGAGAGCTTACGTGCAGGGTAGGGTTGCTAGCAGTAAGGATGTTTGTGCTGCTGTGAACACTGATTCAAGTATATGGTTTTGCTTCGTACACTTTTTTTTTGAAGCTCAGGGGGCGATATGGAGCGTCGTATCGCCGTGGACCACTCTGGAGTGCAATCTCGACCAGGCCAAATGCAGAGTCCAGGACACAGTTATTTGTGTCAGTTTAGGTGCCCTGTTTGAGCCATGTATATACTCGGAGGCTGCTGTGGGGCAGATTTCGCACGTTCTCCTACCGTCGAAATTGAACCTCCGAGCTCAGAACAGGAAGTTGTGATGCAGGATTTCTGTCGTGAGGACTGGGGTGTCGTTCACGCTAGCGCTTGAGCCAAAACAAGCAAGAACTAGGGAGGGATGAAGGTGAGGGAGAACTAGCGTTTCGCATGAGATATCTTTGCAAAATCCTGATCTTTGGGGCCACAACTTGAGACGTCGGTAAGAACGAGCGGGAGGAACTTAAGAGCGTTTTGCACGAGACATCCTTGCAACATCGTAACCTTGGGAGCAGCAGTTTGAGACGTCAGTCAGCGTTTCGCCTGAAACATCATCAGAACATCGCATTGATTTAGCCGTCCCCTCCCTCTGGCAAGCAGCTTGCTAATTCAGTTAGCGCACTTAGCCTAAGTTGCCGAAGTCACTTAAGGCACTTCACTAACCTACTTACCTAAGTTCCCCAACTATCTTACAACCAGGTTCGTCTTAAGCCAGATCTAAGCCAGATTGCGAGGTTGTCCTAAGTGACCTAAGCACTTAGCATCTGCTTACAAGTGGGCCAAGCACTTAGTAAGTGCGATGAGCCGCCCAGTCCCCCCCCCCTCCCGCTCGAAAACCGGGGGGGGTCACTACCGGTTCGAACCCCTCCCCCCCCCCTCCCCCCTCCGGATCCGGAAAACCGGGGGGGGTCACTACCGGTTCGAACCCGTCCCCCCCCCCCCCCGACCCTCCGGATCCGGAAAACCGGAGGGGGTCACTACCGGTTCGAGAACCCCCCCCCTCGACGTCCCGGTCCCCACCACCGTCCGCATCACATCCCCCACTGGTGTTCCCAGCACCACTGTCCTCACCACCACTGTCCCCACTGGTTCCACCACTGCCCCTACTGTCCCCGCCAGTGCCCCCACCACTGTCGCACTGTCCACGCTGTCCCCAGAACTGTTCCCACCACGGTTCCACTCTCCCCACTGTCTCCACGGCCCCAACCACTGCCCGACTATCCCCACTGTCCCCACTGTCCCACTGACTCCTCCGCTGTCCCACTGAGCTGTCCCACTGTTCCCACCACTGTCCCCACTGTCCCCACCACTGTCCCCACTGTACCTCTGTCCCATTGTCCCACCGCCGTCCTCGCCACCGCCTTCACCACTGTCCCCACCACCATTGTACCCTCCACTGTCCCACTGTTTCCACCTCATTCCCATTGTCCCCACACCACTGTCCCCACCACCACCGTCACCACCACTGTCCACTGTCCCCCCCTGTTCCCACCATTGTCCCCACCACTGTCCCCACCACTACCGTCCCCACCACTGTCCCACTGTCCCACTGTCCCCACCACTGTCCCGCTATCCCCTCACCACTGTCCCCACCAACACCGTCCCCACCACTGTCCGCACCCCCACTCGGTTTTCGAGGGGGGGGGGGGGTTCGAACCGGTAGTGACCCCCCCCGGTTTTCGAGGGGGGGGGAGGGGTTCGAACCGGTAGTGACCCCCCCCCCTTTTCATGATGAGCTGGGGGGGGGGGGGAGGGGTTCGAACCGGTAGTGACCCCCCCCGGTTTTCCGGAGGGGGGGGGGGGGAGGGGTTCGAACCGGTAGTGACCCCCCCCGGTTTTCCGCCAGCAGCGGTAGAACACGCTCTTTCGAATACTAATATCGGATCGGATCGGGCTGGCCGCATACCCTTCACGGTGCTCGCGCCCCGTTCTCGGAGCGCAACCTGCGCGCGATTATCCTTGCAACCGACCCCCTTTTTTGTACGTCGTTCAATCCAGGGGGGTGGGAGGCAAACAACAAATCATATTGAATTATCCCGGCAAAGCAACCTAACAGCGATGTGTAGGAGCATATCTGGAAGCATTCCCCTTAAGATTCAGATGAGAATCCAGTTGTAGAATTGTGCTGTTCTCGCAGTCGTAGTCGCATTCGCGATGACAGTCGCAGTGGCAACGGCAGTCACAGACACAGCCTCAGCCTCAGCCTGCCTCAGCCTCAGCCTCAGCCTGCCTCAGCCTCAGCCTGCCTCAGCCTCAGCCTCAGCCTGCTTCAGCCTCAGCCTCAGTCTGCCTTCAGCCTCGGCGTCAGCCTCAGACTGCCTCAGCCTCAGCCTGCATCGGCCTCGGCCTCAGCCTCAGCCTGCCTCAGCATCAGCCTGCCTCAGCCTCAGCCTCAGCCTGCCTCAGCATTCAAAATGTGGCCGGGAATGGAGTTCTGGGAACTCGAAGAACACGAAGTGGCCTACAGTTGGCTCCGGGCATTCAAAATCATGCCCAGGAATGGAGTTCTGGGAACTCGAAGACCACGAAGTGGCCTACAGTTGGCTCCGGGCATCCAAAATCTGGCCCGGGAATGGAGTTCTGGGAACTCGAAGAGCACGAAGTGGCCTACAGTTGGCTCCGGGCATTCAAAATGTGGCCCGGGAATGGAGTTCTGGGAACTCGAAGACCACGAAGTGGCCTACAGTTGGCTCCGGGCATTCAAAATGTGGCCCGGGAATGGAGTTCTGTCGAAGCCACGAAGTGGCCTACAGTTGGCTCCGGGCATTCAAAATGTGGCCCGGGAATGGAGTTCTGGGAAGTCGAAGAGCACGAAGTGTGTGACTGTTGCATCCGGTTATTCAGAATGAGCCTGGGAATGGAGTTCTGGGAACTCGAAGAGCACGAAGTGTGTGACTGTTGGTGAAAACGAGCGGGGCCCCCTGCCGCCCGGCAACTCCCAACGCCTGCCCGGACCCCCCTGTGGAGTGATCTGTGAGCTCTTTTGAGTCAACTAGAAACCTATCAGTCTTCGCTGTTAGGTAACAAAGAACTATCCTTTCTCGCAACCGCCTTTCCATACGTGACCCGTCTTTTGACGCCTCACGGGCCCCGCAAGGGTGGGCCCCAGCAAGGGCCCCCCGAGACCGAGGGTTGCTTAAGACCTCCCATCGTGAGTTTTGTCCAGGCGCGAGGGGGTCTGGAGTCGGAGGTCGCTGGACACGTCCAGGGATGTGCTCTGGCCAGGGGGGGCGACCTGCTTAGGGGGAAACGTCGACCTCCAATCGGCGATACATCGCTGGCAGGTCGGGGGCAGGGACCCGATAGCAGAACCCAACGTCCCTGGACGGGGTCCGCTATCGGGCCCTTATCGGTGATCAGTGAGCGATTGGGGGTCGATGCCTTCCCTCCTCAGCCTGTCCCCTCGCCCCTGAGACGAGGAGCCCCCTGCTGGCCAAACAAAAACCACACGAGCCACGAGAAGGGGAGACTTACGCGGCACGGCACAGCGAGATGGAGCGGAGGCTTGCGCGGGACGCCAGCGCGGTACGCCTTGGAGACGAGGGCGCTTGCGCGCGACGCGCCAGCGTCAGTGAAACGACCCCGCTTTCTTGCGTCGCTCTCAGGCGGCGACCGTTGCTCTTTCAGGCGAAGACCTCCGATCTTTTATGTCTGTACGTTGTGTGGCTCCTCCTCCTCCTCCTCCTCCTCCTCCTCCTCCTCCTCCTCCTCCTCCTCCTCCTCGCGGGCGCCCAAAGACTTCGAGCCCTCTCACCCGGCCTTGCGCTCCGTCTCCTCGGCGTGGCGCTCGCTGTCCACCTGGGGAGCCCCGCGCGGCCCCCTCGGGCGGGCTTCCCTCCGCCCTGCCGGAAGAGCTTGTCTCCACCCCCTCCTCCGCCTCCGCCTCTATTCCTCCTCCTCCTCCTCCTCCTCCTCCTCCTCCTCCTCCCTCCCTCCCTCCCTTCCTCCCTCCCCCCTGGGCCCAGAACAGGGGCACCTGAGCAGGGACCGACCGCCCCAGCATTGCTGTAGGCCTACCACGACGTGTTCTCAGAGCCCGCTGGTGTGCTGAGAACAACAGCAATATGTTCTTAGAACGTAGACCCGATGTGTTAGAACAAGGCAAGATTTCAACCAACAATGTTCTAAGAACAGTGCGTGCAGACCAGAGAAGGTTCTTGGAACATACTCTGGTGGGCCTATCGGCAATCTTGGGCGCAGAGCCCAGACGTTCTCGGCGCCTCGAAGACATCGGAGCGGTCGGCTTGTCGTATCCTCTTTGCCTCCGGAGGTTAGTTTCGTCGAGCTTCGGTACTGACTGTGTCGTCGTCGTCGTCGTCGTCGTCGTCGTCGTCGTCGTCGTCGTCATCGTCGCCAGTCCCCAGGAAATGGAGGAACCAAAAAAAGAGAGGGAACGTCGTGGATAAGTCGCTTGTGAGCCCCTTCCTTTTGACCCCGTCCCTGCCCCCGGGTGGACGGGTGGGGGGGTGGGGAAGGGTGCGGGGGTGTGGGGGGAGGGGGGGGGGGCCGGGCCAGAATGTCGCCTCCCTGGGGTCCTGGGGGGTCCAGGGGAGGGGTCGCCAGCGGATGTGCCGGCGGAGGTCCCGCCTCCAGGGTCGGCGGCACCGGCTGCAAGGCCTTCGCAGCAACAGCTCGGGACGAGGAGCTGGCCCCGGGAAGAGGGTCGAGAGGTCTGGGGCCCACGCGTCGGACACCTCGGAACGCTGGATGTCTGGGGTCGGCAACAGAGAGGTCGGAGGTCCGCGCTGACCCCCTCCTCTGGCGCGCCTCTGAACGGGCCTCAAGGAGCTGATTGTTGTGCCGCCTGTTGGTCTTCGACTTGCGGTCAGAGCCGACCGCGAAGGTGGAGTAGATGGACGCGAGGCGCACCGAATGCGCCACGATGCCAGGTGCAGGGCGAGAGCGCAGAAGGATTGCTTCCAAACTTCGTCCTGAATTCGGGGTGCGCATCTTGTCCGCGAGGCTTCTGCCACAATCTCCGCGGTACCCGTCCGCGTCAGCCTCCTTAAACTCGAGTGGGGTGTGAAATCGGTGCTCCGTCGTGCAACTCCCTTTTATGCTTCAAAACCTGGATCGTCCAAACCTTCGCCATCTTCGTCCGGCCACGCCACAAACCCTAAATTCAACATGTCTTCTCTGGCCTCGGAATTGAGCACCGTGCTATGTCACACTGGTGATCCGCACCGCAAAGATATGCATCGACATCCGTGTCAAACCATGTCAGATGTCCAAGCTTGCTAAAGTCCCCGAGGCTCATACAACGTCTACTCACAGTAGAACGAAGAGGAACAATAGGATCCCCTCATTTCCCTCCGTCCCTCCCCCCAGACCCCTCCGCTTCCTGCGCTCTGGAGCGTGTTTCGGGGACTCGCACCCGCCCTAGCTGACGACGACGACGACGCAACACCACTGGAGGTCATCGAATGCCGCTGATGTCCGCCAATGGCCGCCGATGGCCGCCGAAGGCCGCCGATGGCAGCCGAGGGCGGCCCGCCGCGGGTCGCCGAGGGCTGCCGGATCGTAACCCCCGCGGGTGCCCACCAGCTCCGAGCGGGTGGCCTCCTCGGCGGCCAGCAGCTCGTCCCGCTCGGATCGTACGGAGGCGAGGCGCTGCGTCGCCTGCCGCAGCCGCCGCCGTCATCGCTGGCGCCGTCGGCGGCGGCGGCGTCGTCGTCGGCGGCGTCGTCGTCGTCATCGTCCGCAGTCGTCATCGTCCGCAGTCGTTGTCGTCGTCGGCGGCGGCGGTGGCGGCGGCGGCGTCGCGGTCGTGGTCGTGGTCGTGGTCGTGGTCGTGGTCGCGGTCGTGGTCGTGGTCGTGGTCGTGGTCGTGGTCGTGATCGTCGTCGTCGTTGTCGTCGACCGCCGTCGTCGTGGTCGTCGTCGGTTCGAGGCTTGAAATTCGAGGATCTAGGATCAAGGCACTGAGGCGCTGCCGGTCCCTTCTCGGGCATCTGGGGGGGGGCAGCCTCTGGAAGTGTCTGGGCGTTCGGGGGCGTCGGTCGTCGTCGTCGTCGTCGTCGTCGTCGTCGTCGTCGTCGTCGTCGTCGTCGTCGTCGTCGTCGTCGTCCCCGCTGGGGCGTGGAGGGGGGAGGATGTTTTGCTTGTGTGTGTGTTTTTGTCTGTGTGTCAGTGCTTGGTCTTCGGTCAGCGACTATGTAGGGGACGAGCGAATGGAGGGTAGGCGGAGGGGCAGGGAGGGGGAGCGGGGGTGTAGGGGGGGGGGGACGGAGGGGGGGTTGGGGGAGATGGGGGGTGTTGGGGGAGGAGGGCAAGCTGGGGGATGAGAGGAGGGCGGGTGTCGGGGGAGGAGACACAGGGGGGGGGACGGCATACATACTCTTTTCCTCCGGCGCGCTGAAGAGGCGGAGGCCGGGCGCGCCGACGGACGACTGCGGCGGGGAGGGGGGGTCACACGACCCACAAGGCACACACCGAAGAAGGTGTATAAGAAGCAAACCGCTCCCTCGTCGTCCTCCTGTTTCTCGTCGTCGTCGTCGTGGTCGTCGTTGTTGTCGTCGTCGTCGTCGCCGTATTCGTCGTCGTCGTCGTCGTCGCCCCCCTGGAGGAAGAGGACGGGGAGGAGACAGGGGAAGAATGAGGAGTAGGGAGCAGGAGGCGGAGAAGGGGAAGGACGAAGAGGAGCTGCTCCTTATGTACACCCGTTTGAAAAAAAGGCAGTGCCATGTGGCACGCTCCTGCACCTCGTGGTGATCGCGTCTCTGGTGCGGCTGCCGTTTGCTCCAATCTTGGGCCTGCTGCTGCCCTTGCTCTGTCCTTCAGTCATCGGCCTCTTCGCGCCTTCTCTCTCTCTCCATTTCGAATCGAGGACAACGAAGAGGAGAGGGACGATGAGGAAGACATCTGGGGAGGTCGGGGATCTACTGGCCCGGGTCCAGCCAGACCCGGGTCAGTCAGGCCTTGCAGGATCTTGCAGGATCATGCGCCCAAGCCTGGTCAATGCGAACCTGGCTCTGCAAGATCCTGCGAGATCTGGCGCTCGGACTAAACCCCGCTTGCATGGACCCTCGTCTCTGGAGCCCCGAGGAGGGGGCGAACGGGGGGGGAAATGAGAAAGGGCGGGCCTTCTCAGAAGGCTCGTAAGTCACCCAGACTTCTGAGAAGTGCTTTAAGCCTTCCCCGAAACCACAGAAAACCACCCAAAAGGCGCGAGGGTTTCTGAGAAGTCCCGCCGCCTTCCGAGAAGGCCTTCTCGTAGCCAGCCTCGAACTCATCCCTAATTATCCCTAAGCTGGGCGAGCAAAAAGCGAGGACAATCTTGGGGACGTGCTCGCAGAAACTGAGGGAATCCTCAAGATCGGCACCCGGGTGAGGCGATGCCAAACACAGGGCTAGGGACATGTCTCAAACTTCGGCGGTGGACAAACCTCCCTTTAGTAAACCTTCATTTGTGAAAACGGCCTGGGGCCGAAACTCACGGACCTGGATCCGCAAAAACGACGGCCGCTGTGGGCACGACGGGTTCAGGCGGCCATCGCAAGATGATCTGACTAGAACGCTTTTCAACTCAGCGCAAACAAACATGGCTTGAGCCAAAACGTATACCAGTCAGAAATGCAATCCTGTGCAGGCCGCAAAGACAACACAAAGAACGCTGCATAGTCAGGACGAGAGGGAGCCTCATGATTCCACAGCTCCCCCCCACTTACTGTCGGCCTGACTCCTCGAGCCGTCGGTCGCGACCCTGTAGGTAGCGGCGGCTAGCCTCGCGACTGCGACGGCCCTTCTCGCCGCCTGCAAGTAGATGAGCCCACTCGGACTCAGCATCACTCAACGTAAGGGTCCCTATTGAGCAGGCGAGGAAACCACTTCACACATGAGCCCCGATGGGAGAAGGAGTCTCGAGTTATGGCAAGGTCCACAGAGGTCCTGTGATCCTCCTTCCTGCCAGCACAGTTCTTGGAGAGACAATCGAATATGGACTCGGCGTCTGTCGTGTAGACTCCGGGCATGGGCCGATGCAACTCGCAGCTGCCACGCAGCACCGACACATAGGGACCAGCGTACTGTCGCCAGTCGGCCGTGGGCACGTCTCCATGACAAGCATCGCGGAGTAGTAGCTGGACCCAGTCGGCCTCCCCGAGGGACTGACAAAGAGAATTGGCCTCGCCTGCCAGTGATGAGTTGGCGGCACGACGCATCTAGGATGATCTCCACGACAAGATAGTCCCCTTGCTGGTCAGTCCAGCAGCTAGCTGGGGGTCGGCCACTCCAACAGCCCACGCACACTGGATCGGCGAGTCTGCGCCAATCCCAGCCGCATCGCTCAGGGTAAAACTCACAACCTGAGACATGTCGCGTCGCCAGATGGTCAAATGCTGAGTGGCGGTGTCGCGTAGCACCTGAATAGCCTTATTGAAGACGGCGATGTCTTCCACACCGGCCCACTCGAGCTTGCTGGCGAGAATGGAAGCCGTGCCGGCCACCTCTGGGCGAGTCTCCTTGGCGACCCAGCTGATGCGGTAGACGCCGGACCTGAGCTGTTCGAACTCCGAACGGCTCAGAGCCTCCTGCCGCTTGGAGCGTCGGCCCTTCTGTAGCACTATAAGGTGGATCTCCTCAAGGATGCAGTTCTCCTGGTCCACCCGTATGCGGTGAGCCCCCTGGCGGATGCGCCGACCTGCGTCGCCGCGCAACTTGTCGAAGGTGAACCTGGCTTTCAGGGAGTCGGCCAGCCACTTCGTGTGAGACGCGACTGTGCCTAGCCAGAGATCGCCCACCTCGATCAGCTCCGGACTGACTCTTCAGGGCGCCCAGCTCTCGCAGAGTCCAGTAACAAGGCTCCAGAAGCAGCTCCTTGAAGCCGAGGTCGCGCGGGTAGGATGTAATCGTGGCGTGCCATTCCTAAGGGGCGTCGTCCAGACCGCCGTAGACAACCACGTGCAACTCTATCAGGCACCCGTCCTGGACGTGAATGCCTGTGAGCCCCTCGCATGGGGCCGCATAGATGGGCCCCCCAGCACGACGGAGTCGCCTCGACCGGCTGAAAGCGTTCCTGCAGTCCACGATACTCTGGTCCATGCCATGACACAGAAGCTCGAGCCCGAAGAGCATCGTCGACTCCGACTGAGGAGTCAGTGAGTCGGGCACCAGTTTCTCAGTGTCGGGCTCAGCAAAGCCGCGAAGGCATCATCTGCTCTTAGCCTTTGGAGCACTGCAAGTGCTCATGTGCGTGCCTTCCACCTGCGTACCATCCTGGATGATAGCACTCGCTCGGGGCGGGTTCGTAGCACCCGGGTGGGCTCCTCCTCCTTGCTGAGGATCTACATCACGTTGGGTATTTTGAGCACTTCCCACTCGGCCTCGTCCGACTGCCTGAACTTCTCAAGTTCCTGAGCTGATAGGTCCTTGAGCTTGATCTCTCCGCTGCGTGAAGCCAGCGGAGACCACTGCCCAACACTGCCGTCGGAATGCTCGAAGATGAAGTCCCTCCGGCCGCCCATGTAGGCCTCGATGTCGCCGCTCCAGCTCGAGTCCTCGAACCAGTAGTCCAGCGCCTCGCGGAAGCCCTCGAGAGCGCCGAGGCCCGACTCGTCCATCGGAGCTGTCGGACTGGCCTCTGGAGGACTGGTCAGAGATGGGGGCGCCGCGCTGCCCTGCTTGGCCCGCCAGTCCTCGAACTCCTGAACCTGAGTGCGGACTCGACCCTCTGCCCCATCGGCGCCGTGCTGCGGCAGCAGCTGTGAGGGAGTCGGGAGACCGGGGCCCCTGAGCAGCTCGTCTGTCGGGGCCCCGCCAGCTGCGGAACGTAGGAGTGTCGGGGTCCAGCCTGGCGCGCTTGAACTCCGGGTCATCCTCGGACAAGGAGGGGCGTCTCGATGCGGACTGGGGCCCCCCGGCGGTGGCCACCGCCGGGGAGCCGGACTCCGAACTGGCAGGAATGGAGCCTGGCTCAGACGCCGAGGGCGTCGGCGCGGCGGCTGGCTCTCTGGGGGCCCCGCGGAGCTGGGCCCGACGCTGGCAGGTCTGGGAGTCTCGACGACCTCTGCCGGGTTCAGAACGGTCGTGCTCTGGGACTCTGGGACGGGTGTCTGCCGAGTCACTGGCCCTGGGGCCCAGACAAGACGAGGCCTCAGCCGCAAACTTGATGCCGGTGCCGGAGGCGGTTGTCCTGGAGGTGGCGCTGGTGGCCCAGCAGCTGCTGGAGCCACAGGTTCGGAGATCGCTGGAGTCGGAGCTGGAGTTGGGAGGATGCTGGAGTCGGGAGCTGGATTGGGTACCACTGGAGCCTCGATGCTGGCGGGGCCCACGTTGGAGTCCAGAGAGCCACGGTGGTGACCTGAAGCCTCGTTGGAGCCCCCTGGAGCAATAGACGCGGGGGACGTGTATCCCTCAGAACTGACGGGGGCCATGGTGGCCTCAGGTGGTGGTGGTCCATCTTGAGCAACATCTAGAGCCCCTTCCTGATCCCCTTTGCCAATTGCTTGTCCAAGACATCCCAATAACCAGTGGTCTGTATGAGCTCTGCCCCAGGAGACTCGGACTGCGTGGCATGTCGTATTTGCTCGCATCTGCACTTCCATAAACGACTGCGCACACACCCACACTGTCGTTCCGTGGTGACATATTACAGCTCCTGGCCCGACCCACCTGTCCCTCTGAAAACCGTAGGGCTTGCGCCCTGTCTTAGGCGCTCGTCTCCATATGTAGACCCAATCTCCAGGTCGGTAGGTCCTGTCCCTGCGCCGCGCTGATCCCAAGGCATGCTGCAACTTCCTACGGGCATCTCCTTCCAATGCGAGCTGTCGGGCACGAGTCCGAATCGCATGCTGGTGTCGGGAAGCTGCCGCTGCCGCGTCTAGATCAGCACGCGGCTCCTCGAGGGCATGGGGGCCAATGTGGTCCAGAGGGTCTTCGCTGAGCAACTCCTGAGGGACTCCAGGGTTCTGCCCGAATGCTAATTGGAGCGGCGAATATCCTCCTCGATTCAGGAAGCTGTTCCGCCGGGCAACCAACTCGCAGACCGCCAGGTCTAGGTCGTCAAGGCCCTCCAGAATCGCATCGTCCACAAGCCGCTGGAGCCGCTCTTTCAGCCAGTGACCCGCCCGCTCAGTCTTTCCGTTCTGTCAGGGGCTGTCCGCGTCGGTGGTGTGTTGGAACGCCCCTTGCTGCCCTAAGTGTCTGTTGAATCCAGCCTCGCACTCGCCGCCGCCGCCGGATATGAGGACTTCTGGAGGTCTGCAGTGTCGGGTCCATCCCTGAGCGCGAGCTTTCCACGCCGCTGCTGGCTGCGAGCACCTCCCGGGACCCACGAGCCCCACCCACTGCAACGAGGTGCCCAAGCAGACTGCATCCAGGAACGCGCGTTCGCGACGTTGGTACGCCACAAAGAAGATATCCACACCAACCAACTGGTTGAAAGAGAATGTCCGAGCTACTGCGGCCTTCCGTTGTGGCATGGACTTACCGGCGCTCTCGCATGACTGGCGCGCGAAAAACCGATGCACATAGCGCAGGATCTCTGGCCGAGCGTGAGCACATCTGAAAATGCGAAGCAGGTCCCTCATGGAGGGATGGCCAAGGTTGATGTGCGCCTTCTCCACTTGTCGGATCTGCTCTTGGGCCAATGGGCAGTCCTGCTGCTGCTGCTGCTCCTCTTCCTCCTCGCCCTCAGAAGCATCCTGATCAAGTGCCCCTGCCTGAGGCTGGGTATGTTGCTCCTGCCGACGCGGCGCCAGTACCCCGCTCAGAAAACTCTCGTCGATGCCCTGCTGCTGTAGCCCGGCTGAGCGGCGTGCGGTGTAGGAAGTGGCCCGGCAGAACTTGGCAGGATAGCAGGCAGCCCGTCGAGGCAGACCGCCCCCCTCCAACACCAGATGTGGATGGTCCCCGGCGCGCCGTTTTCCCATGAGAGCTTTATAGACTTCACAGTCGTTGGTTGCCGCTGTTGTTGGTTTCTTGGAAATCGTGCCAGGCCTAATGGGAAGTCCAAACCTGCACATGTCAAAGTTGATCCTGGTCACGCACGGGAGCTCCAGAATCCTCTGAGTGCTGGGAAGAGTTCAAGAGGTAGCTGTCACCGGTTGTTCCAAAGTAAACTTGCTTCCGCCCTTGATCTGAAGCTCGATTATCTCCATGGTGTATGCCCGCAGATGCAGAGCCTCCTCGCGCGCCCTGGCAATGTCGATCGGGCCCCAACCATAATCGTTGATCGCTTTGATGGATGAGAACTTGGCGCAGGGGAAGCTGAGGAATACTAGCCGCGTGCGCCGCCTCCTGATCAGTTCCTTGCTTAGCTCTCCGTTGTGTGCCCGTCGGAAGCCCCAGCCAATAGTTAAGTCTAGGCTGCCGCCTGTCGGAGAGCCCCTGGAGCCCATTAGCGAGGAGACCTCGGCAATGCGCGGAGGAGAGAACACCCCGACGAATTCACGACCCCAGGAATCTGGACCCAAGCTCCTCCGAAGATCTCGGTGGCCCTGACGACGACGACGCCGACTTCTCCTGTCGATCTGGAACGGATGCGAGGTGTGATCCAGCCCCGCTAGGTTAACTAGTGTATCGTCGGAGTCGCGGAGTAGCTCGGGGCCCCGTAGCATGGTGGTAGACTGATAGCTCTGAAGAAGGACGACGCAACGGTAGTCCGTTTCCAAGAGGTTGGTATCGGTAGTGTCCGAGCCGCCCAGATGAGCAGAGGTAGAGACCCATGCCCAAAGTCGGTAGAGCCCGTCATCTGATAGGCGGGTGTGTAGTAGGAGGAGGAGAGTGACTGGCAGCCCACGTTTCTCCAAGAACTCATGGTCGACTCTGTAGCACTGGCCGCGGACTCTGGCCTGCTCGAGAGCAGCGCTGACCTCTCTGTGAAGGCTGCGAGAGGTAGGTATCTGAAGCCAGCGCTCCCTTCGAGACCCGTTGCTCATGCAGCGCCCCGCTCTCTCTCAGATGTCCTTCGTGTCGTTGTCCGCTGGGGGCTCCACCACGGTGAATCCGCGGTCGATTGATGTCCCGGCTGCTGTCGGCGGCGAACCTCCGGTTGACGCCGGAGGTCCGAGTGCCGAGCCCCTCCCGGCGGCCGCAGACTCTGACCCCATCTGCTGCATCGTGTTCATCATGTGCGAGAGCGTCGCAGATTGCTGGCGCAGCGCCTCCGTCATCGGCCCCGTGGACGCTGACATCGCTTCGGTCACTGCTGCAGAGAGCCCCCTCATCATCTCCATGGCCCACGGAGGTGGAGGCTCCATGTTGAAACTGGACCACGTGTTCTCGTCGTTCGGCGCCGTCGCCACGTGCCTGCCAGGAGCCGGAGCTGGGCCTCCTGCGCTGTCGACCTCAATTGCCTGACGTCGCGAGGAAGCTGGTGCTTGTCGATCTTCCGCAACTCCGACGCCGTCGTCTGCTGGTGGCCGACCCCGCGGAACCCGACCTCCTGGTAGGACGACCTCGCCCTGCACTTGCTGCACTGCTCTCGGTTCCCGTGCTGGTTGTAGAAGATCGCGAACCACCTGGGGCGGTGTGCGCACTGCGTCCAGGGCGCCGAGCCGTCCGCCAAGGGCTTCGTCATCGGGGCCCGGTACTCGTGGAGCTGATCCACCATCTTGGGGTCCTCCAGCAATCTCTGACGTATCTCCTCTCCTGGGAACAGCTTCCCGAGCTTGCCCTGAGTGTAGAACTGATCCACGAGAACCTGCAGCCGCATCGCCCTGGCACGGACAAGCCAGAGCCACTGGAGACTGGCTCTCTCCGCGATGTCTGGGCCCTCGCAGCCCCGCATCTTCTCGAGACAGACGTCGTCGTGGACGTGGATGTGACGCGTGGCTCGATGTTTGAGCCAGGATAGCTGCGGGGTTGGAGCCGTGGTGGGAGCCGTGGTTAAGATCGGAGGCGATAGTGGGGTCTGGATAGCTGGAGTCGGTAGTGAGGCTCGCGGAGTCTCGTAGAGGTCTGGCGTTAGTGGTGTCTGGACAGCTGGAGTCGGTGATGAGGCTCTCGGGGTTCCTTATGGGCCCAGAATGGTTTTTCCAAATCAGCGCATTTCCATTTCCGGTCGCGGCTCGGAAAACGCCCGGGCTGAGACCTGCAAGCAAGGCGCGCGGGTTGGGAGAACATCCGCCCTCGACCCGCGCCAGTCGTTGATGTAGATTCCTCGGTGGGACTTCCCCATCCGAAGGAGCTCGGTCTCGCAGTCCAGCTTCCCCAGGTGAAGAAGCTCCTTCTCGTAGGCCAGCGCCGCGACGAACTGCTCGAGGAAACCTCCGGGCAAGGGGGGGGGTAGATCCTCCTCCGCCGCGACGAACTCGTTGGTCCCGCCTTTGCCACTGATGGAAATGGGCACCGCAGCGACTCCGACCGCTGTAGCAGACCCACCGAGTTCTCGTGGTGTCTGAACCCCCTTCTCGACCCAGCTGGTCCGGAGTCCGCGGCGCAGCAGGTCGCTCTCGAGCCCCGTCAAGGCCCTGCGTCCGATGATCGCCTGCGAGGCGCCGCTGTCCACGATGATCAGGCCGTCTTCCAGGCTCAGCAGCGTGAGCTCAGCCTGGTTGGTCTCCTTGTTGACGATCTCCCTGAGCGTCGTCAGCACCGCCCCGCCCAGGACGGTAATGCCACTGATATCGTTGTCCGGGTTGTCGTCCGCCTCGACTGCCGCGAACGTGAAACCCTCGACCTCAGCTCCTCCAGACCGCGGCCAACGCTTGCCATCGCCCTACTCTCTAGGACGATGGGGGTTCTTGCGCTCCCTATGCCATGCAGTGACCCACTTCTCCGCAATTCCCGCACTTCGTGATCAGCTTCAGCTGCGACGGCGTGAGTCTGCGCTTCTTCTGCCAGAAGCCTCGGTCTCGCTTGAGTCCCGTCTTCAGCTGTTATTAATCCTTCCTGGTCTTCCCGGTCTTCCCGAGCTGCGCAAGCGCGTCGATCACTTCTGACTGCTCGAGGCCCTTCTCTGATATCTCTACGAGCATCATGGCTTCATCGTCGAAGTCAGGCTCGTCTGCCCAGCGCGGTCACTCCAATATCGACTCCTCGTTAGATCCGGACGCTGACCCGAAAGGCTCAGGAGAAGTGGGCGCCGTCTCCTGGTGCATGCTTACTAGCGAAGACTGCTTGTGGTCGCCCCAGGCATTCCCTCCTGTGTCCAGCTTCGGCAACGCCCAGAGGATGTCTTCACTCAGCGTCGAGCCCTTCGTCACACTCTTGAGGTTCTGGCGGCCTTGCTCGTTGAGTCGAGCGCCCTGCATCAACGGCATGCCCTGGATCTTCGGCGGGTTCTCCATTCCGATGCTCTTAGCCTTGTCGAATTGACGCCTGCCCCTCTCGGCAAAAGTGTTCAGGTCCTCGTCCTTCCTGCGCTCTGTGCCCTGCATGGCCTCACTGCCTGTCCGGAAGAGATCGTCATCTTCTCGCTCGCCAGACCGAATGCCCATCCTGCGCAAGACGACCTCCGCTGTCAGCTCGCTGCCCGTGACCTCAAGCGTGAACCGGATGTCCCAGGGCAGGACCTCCAGCAGTCTGTCTGCTGTCTGCATCTCGCTCAGGTGCAGGCCCGCCTTCCAGCGCTTCACGTACTGCTTCCATAATCGAAACTTCCCCCAAACGGGCCAGGATGGCGCTGATCTGGGCTGTGTCCAAGAGCTCTGCCACCAGCTGGAGCCACTCTGCCATGAATCGTCTCGACGACTGCTCCATTTGTGCCACACGTCATTATGGTCCCAGGCCTGGTGTTGCCAAGGTTGGTCGGCCCATCCCTTCCTCATGGGCGGAGGGACGTGCCTGTCCTCGTCGCCCGCGGTCTTGGTGGTATATGCCTTCTGCTCTTCCTTCCATGCCTCGTCTCGCCACGGGTCAGCCTGCCTCGTGTGAGGGAGTTGCGCCGTGCTCTTGCCCGGCGACCCCCTCGAGATTCGGCGAGCCTCTGGCGGTGCGGAGGCCGGCGCAAATCCTGTGCCCACCCGTATCATCTGAGCCACCTTGCCCGCGATTTTGTCTATGTCTGCATCTGCAAGCCCTTCTACTGTGCTGTCCGCTGGGACAGCTGCATCCGAGTGGCTCATCGCTAGTCGTGTGGCCTTGCACCCCTGTAGGCCGCCTTCGCCCTGCCGCAGATCTGTAGACTGTCCTCTAACGCACCCTCCCAGGGCCTTGCCGGAAGTCGTCTGGTGAACCACGTTCCGCCTATGAGTGTGGGCACGACGGGTTCAGGCGGCCATCGCAATATGATATGACGATATGACTAGAATGCTTTCCACTCAGCGCAAACAGAAATAGCTTGAGCCAAAACGTACATCAGTCAGAAATGCAAGCATGTGCAGACAGCAAAGACAACACAGAGAACGCTGCATAGTCAGGAGCCGTATGATTCCACAGCCGCGACGCCCTCTCGCGAACCGGAAACGGCCAATTCGCTAATCGACGTGTCAGGGTAGGAGGTCTATCAACCCCCGAAAACTGGCAATTCTCCTTCTCGCCTCCCCGCCTCGCCCCCCGCTGATGACGGGCGGCGGCGGCGGCACCGGCGGGAGGCGAAGGCTTAGGCAGGGCGTGCCCCCCAAACAAGGGGATTCTGGGCGAAAAATTAAAAACAGCCAACACATATTCCATACAAATTGCGAAAAAAAACAAACATTGTCCCCAGACTATTGTTGAATACTCCTCCTGTAGAGGGACACCCGCACGACTTCAGCCTAGGCGGGCGGGCGGGGCACGGGCGCTGCCGGCCTCCCGCTCGCGGCTGGCGGTGGCCCGCTGGCGCTCCAGCACCTCGCCCAGGCTCGCCTCCGCCCGGCGCTCCGGCGGCAGGGGGCCCCCGGGGCCAGACTACTAGAGGATGTCTTTAGGTCGGGCACGCCCTCCCACAGGCGGCCTCTGGGCGAAAGATCAGAAAGGGGGCCCAGGGGGGAGTCCTTTTCCTCCTCCTCCTCCTCCTCCTCCTCCTCCTCCTTATCTCCGCCTCCTGTTCCTCCTACTCCTTCTCCTCCTCCTCCTCCTCCTCCTCCTCCCCCTCCTGGTCGTCGTCGATGTCTTTCAGGGTCGGCGGCACGGGCCGTCAGGCCTTCACAATCAGAAACGGCCCAACAAACATTCAAAAATAGTACTAATCAACAAGTCGTCCCCAGACTAAGTTTTGTTGGACTATGTTTGTCAGGATGGGAAAAACACACATTCGTCGATTCCCAAGAAAATACAGGAAAATACGGGAAGTGTGGGGGAAGACGAAAGCGTAGAAAATATGGGAACATATGGAACATCTTGTTATTTTGTCTATTTAGTTGTGTGTCCAAGGCCCCTTCAGTTTGCAAATGCCTCCCGTGGAGGGACGGGCCCGCCTAGAGGACCTCTCGAGGTCTCTCTGGGCGCTGCTGGGGCTGCCTGGTGGCGGCGGGTGCCCCTCGCCGCCACCGCCAGGGCCCAGGCCTCGGGGCTCCTCCTCCTCGTCCTCCCCCTCCTCCTCCTCCTCCTGCTTCCTCCTCCTTCTCCCCCGCTTCCTCATCCACCTCCTGCTCGGCCTCCTCCTCCTCCTCCTCCTCCTCCTCCTCCTCCTCCTCCTCCTCCTCCTCCTATCCTCGAAGATTTGTGTTGGCCGTTTTTGCAGTTTTCTGCCGGGGAGGGCATTTTTGTGGGCCCCTCGTCGCCCCTGGTGGACTCCCCTCGCAAGTCTGGCCGGTGTCAAGGGGCCGACTTCTTCTTATCTTCGGCCCCAGGCCGCCTCGCCTCGCCAAGCGACATGTGTCCGTCGCAGCCCCAGTAGCTGGGGAAACATGTGCGCGAAGCAAAGGCAGCCCGTCGACGGTGGTAGCCCGGGAAACACGCACGTGCCGGGAGGACAATTTTCCGGCATAGGCGATGCGCCCGCGCGCCCTGGTGGCCCGGGAAGCCCTCCTGACCCTTCCTCCTCCTCCTCCTCCTCCTCCTCCTCCTCCTCCTCCTCCTCCTCCTCCTCCTCCTCCTCCTCCTCCTCCTCCCACTCCTCCCCCTCCTCCTCCTCCTCCTCCTCCTCCTCCTCCTCCTCTCCTCCTCCTCCTCCTCCTCCTCCTCCTCCTCTTCCTCTCTCTGCCTGCCTGCCTGCCTGCCTGCCTGCCTGCCTGCCTGCCTGCCTGCCTGCCTGCTGCCTGCCTGCCTGCCTGCCTGCCTGCCTGCCTGCCCTGCCCTGCCTGCCTGCCTCCCTCCCTGCCTGCCTGCCTGCCTGCCTGCCTGCCTGCCTGCCTGCTCCTCTGCTCCTGCTCCTCCTGCTCCTCCTGCTCCTCCTCTCCTCCTGCTCCTCCTCCTCCTCCTCCTCCCTCCTCCTCCCCTCCTCCCCCTCCTCCTCATCCCCCCTCCTCCTTCTCCTCCTCTCCTCCTCCTCCTCGTCCCACTCCTCCCCCTCCTCCTCCTCCTCCTCCTCCTCCTCCTCCTCCTCATCCGCCTCCTCCTCCTCCTGCCTGCTCTTCCTCCTCCTCCTGCTCCTCCTCCTCCTCCACAATTACTCAATATGAATACTACTCTCCCTCTTCCCCTGATGACGGTTTGAAAGTGTCCGACACCCCCCCGCGCACTGTTTTCTTAAACACAGGTTTCCCCGGAGTTGGGTTTTCGCCTGCATTTTTTCCAAAATGCTGCTCTCGCTGAGGCGCCCGCCTCATTTTCGGGCCCCGCTCGTTCCGAATCGTGCTCCCGCTGCAGCACTGGCCTCATTTCCGTGCTTCCGCTCGTTCCGAATCGTGCTCCCGCTGCAGCGCTGGCCTCATTTCCGCGCTTCCGCTCGTTTCGACTCGTGCTCCCGCTGCAGCGCTGGCGTCATTTCCCGTGCTATGCCACGGCATGCAATGCAATGCTAGGTTGATGCTACGCTTCGCGGTGCTCTTCTATGCCACGCCATGCCGTGTTCTACAATGCATCGCGTACCCTTTCGGGATCATTGTCCTGCTCGACATCCGACTGTGCGAGTAGAGAGGGGATCTGCGCCATGGTAAGGGATGGGAGGGAGGGGTAGGATGTCAGATATGACGCGAGCGCACCTGGCTTGTCCTCCTCCTCCTCCTCCCCCTCCTCCCCCTCCTCCACTTCCTCCTCCTCCTCCTCCTCCTCTTCCTCCTCCTCCACCTCGTCGGGCAGCAGGAGGGGGGAAGGAGCAGGAGGGCGGCCGCGGATAGCAGGGGGGTGATGGGACGGCATTCGCCGCACGAAGCCCTCCGGCGGGAACGGCGCGGGGTCGCCAAACGAAGCACGTCTCTGCAAAGCTTGAGCACTGCTGGGCCGGTGGGGCCACGGGACCCTTCAGCAACAGCCCAAGACGAAAAGGCGGTCCAGTGTGAGGCGCCGAGACCTACTGGGAGGTCCACGTTGAGAAAAGGCACGGCGTCCTGAGAGGCCCGCCTGCTGCCGTCCAATCGATCCGACGATCCTGCCGATTCATGTGTTGTGTGATCGCAGCGGGGAGTACATTGATGGTGTATGGATCGCTTGATCGTTGAACGATTGATCTAACCCCAGGCATCCTCAACTATCCGCACCAGGCACATAACCATTCCGATCTATGCCAGTGATCGACAAATCTGGGTGACCCATGCTTGGTAGCGAAGGAAATGGCGGAGGAGGAAGTGGGGGATGCAGGTAGAGGCGGGTAGAGAAGGGATGAATGGAAGATACGGGGTATGGAACGGGTGGGTCGATGATCGAAGGCATGAGTCGCGAGCAGGGAAAGGTTACAATTGTTCTGGCGAAGGGCCCGACCCTGTGTGAGCCCGGCCATTTCCTCATCCACAATATGCCAACCCGTAGTGCGAATAGAGGGCTGCGGAGCAAGCGCGTAAAAGGCGCGCTGAAATCGAGATGGGGCACAATCGGCGTCAGACGTGTGCCCAATTGGGCAAGGACCCAATGCGAACGTACCCGCCGGGACCGTAGGTGGAGGAACACCTGGGGCATGCACGATCCGCGAAAGGCTTTTGTTGGAGGGTTGGTGAGGAATATGAAGTTGGAGGGGGAAGAGGGTGGATGAGGAGGAGGCAGGAGGAGAATGGAGTAGGATGGCGATGGTTGTGAAGGAGGGTTCGGGAGGGCTCGGGACGACGGTTTGTTAGGAATGCTGATGAGGATGGTTGGAGGCGAGACGATGCTGAAGAGGTTGAAGCAAGAGGGTTGATGAGGATGGTTGAGGGATGAGGAGAACCGCGGATGAGGGTTGGTAGGAGGACTGATGAGGAAGGACCACGAAGACTCAACATCATCCGCCTCATCAGCCCTCATCCTCAACTCTCCTCCTTCACCTCCATGCTCCTCACGCCCCCTCGCTGCTTATCACCAACGCTCACCTCCAACCCGTCTCTCCACCACTCATCCTTGACCCTCCGCCTCAAACTTCCTCTTCAACTCTCCTCAACCCTCCTCATCCACATTCACCCTCGAAACGCCGTATCATCCTCTCAACCGTTCTTCTCAACAAACATCAACAATTCCATCTACCCTCCGCATTTGTCCTTGTCAACCCGACCCCCCCCGATCCACCCCGATCCACCTCAAGCCGAATTAAGCTCACAAGCACGTCGGATAAAACGGGGTTTAGCACGGATAGATCCTTTCTCCGACCTTGTAGCGCGTTGAGCGTAACGCCCGCGTGGTCTATAGACGCATCCACCCCGAGTGTGTCTCTATATATGTAGAGGAGCCAGATGTGCCATATACGCCCGAGGCTAGACAGTGAGAGTGTTGTTTGGCATAGGCCTGGGATTTTGGTTTCTTGAAGCAGATCGACTTGGCCCTCCAACACATGCAGTTGGGGCTCGATCACAAGAAACCTTCCACAAGAGACCCAGCCCTGAGACCCCAGGGCGACCATGGTTTTTTTGCGTGTGACTGTCGCGCTCTCCATCGCACAACCATCGAAGCCCAGGGGACCCTTTGAGGCAGGCAGGGTGTTTCTTGGCATGGGTTTGGGTGACCCAAATGGGGGTCCAGCTGCAAGGGGGTGGTGCAATAGATTTGGGGCAAATCAAATTGCACATGTATTGCGCCGGAAAATTGTATTGCATTGTATTGCAACGAACGCATTGCACGCGACAATCCAGCAATACATTTGCGCCCTGGAATGTATTGCACGCCTCAAATGTATTGCAACCCTACAAATCTATTGCACCAAATCTATTGCACCGCCCCCTTGTCGCTGGGCCCCCTTTTGGGTCAACCCGAATGGGTCTCCACGGTACCAGAGCCGATGCTGAGCTCGAAACCACCGAGGAGACGAAGCCATTCCCTTCTGGCACGGCCTGCGGCGGCGGCGGCGTCGACCAGAGGCACCGTGGCCCGTGAGGTTAGGGGGGGGCGAGAAGAAATGGGACAGGAAAGGAGGAGGGGAGGAGGGGAGCAGAATTGATGAAGAGGAGGAGAAACAAGAGGAAAGGATGGGAGCAACGGAGGAGGGGACGAAAGGATGAGGAGGGGAGGAGGGAGAGGCGGGGATGGGGGGCAGGAGGAGTGAGAAAAGGAGGAGGGGAGATGGAAGGATGAAGAGGAAAGCGAGAGAGAAAGATAGAGAGAGAAGAGGAGAGGAGCAAGATAGAGGCCTCCCGGATGGGTCCGAGAAGAGGGGGTCGGAGGATCGCACGGCATCGCCGATGCATCGTCAATGCACCGGCGACGCCAGCGTGGAGCCCGCATCGAGCCGCATTGCCCATGCATCGGCGATGTGGCAGGACCCTCCGACCCCATCTGCTTGGACCCCATCTGGGAGGCCCAGAAGGATGAAGAGGGAGGGAGGAGGATGACAGGGAATCTGTCGACACCCATCCCAGGCTTCTTGGGGTGTGTCGAACGGGCTAATGGCTTGGGGTCCATCCCTGGGATCTACAAGAGGGGGGGCGTCCATCGTCGATAGGGGTGCGTCCGAATAAGCCCCCTGGGGGTGTACCTCAGGGCTTCCTAGAAGAAGGAACAAAGCCATAAACATAGACTTCTGGTGCGCCGCGCGGGTTTTTTGGATCCGCGCTGGACCCCCCTCCCAGGCGCGCGGAGCGCGCCAAGGGGCGGCGCCCGAGGCGCCGCCGGTGGGGGCCCAGCGCGGATCCAAGAAATCCGCGCGGAGCGCCAAAAGTTTGTGTTCATGGCGATCGCTTCTTCCTTCGAAGGAAGGCGAGCCGCCGCCCCCGGGGCCCCAGAGCACCCGCTGGCCATCGCTCGGACGTCCACTCCCTGTGTTTTTTTCGGTTTCGTGCGTGGTTTTTTCGCCAGATGGTCGAGGATGCTCCTCGATGGTCCTCGCCGAAGGAAAAATGCACGTCCGAGCGATGCCAAGTTCTTCTTTCGAAGGAAGGCGAGCCGCCGCCCCAGGGCCCCAGGGCACCCCGGGAGGCGAGCGGGGGGAGGGGAGGAGGGAGGCTGCCTCCAGCAGCGCGGCGCGCTGCTGCCCCTGCGCCGCCTTTGGGGGGGCGGAGGGGGGCGAGAGGGGGGCGGAGGGGGACCCCCCGCGGCGCCCTGCGCTCCGCCGCCGCGGCCCACGAGGAGGGGGGCAGGCCGAAGTCCTCCTCCTCCTCCTCCTCCTCGTCCTCGTCCTCCTCCTCCTCCTCCTCCTCCTCGTCCTCCTCCTCCTCTGGATCGAATCGATCCGAGCCCTCTTCGAGGGGCTTGGGCGGAAGCGTCGTGACCTCGCCTCTGGCTCGAGCCCAGGCTTGAGCAGGGACCGACCGTCCCAGCAGTTCTATAGGCCTGCCACGTCTTAGAACCCCAACAAGTTCTCAGAACAAGAACGATGTTCTTAGAATATAAGCCCGGTGTGTTAAAACAAGACAGTCCCAGCCAGAGCTGACACACGACATCTCGAGCGAGCGCCCTATTTTGAAAAAAGAACAGCCCTCCACCTGTGTGATGACTGTTTCGCACAAGGCTGAACCTAAACAGTGTTTTGCGTTTTCATACTGTTTTCGTGTTCCCTCGTTCTGTCTTCCATCCGCCTCTACCACAAGACGGCATCGACACGAAAACGGCCCACGAAATCGCCGACACACCGTTCAGGTCCACCCCTGATCTCAAGCGAGCGCCCGATTTCGAGAAAGAAGAGCCCTCCACCTGTGCAGCAACTGCTTCGCACTTGTGCAGGTCAACTGTGGTGGCTTGTCTGATACAGTCGGGGCGTTGACCTAAGGAACCCTAAATAAGGAACGAGGCCCCTTTTTTCCACAAGTTAAACTTCGATTTCCCATCGAAAGCATAAGGAAAACCTGAGGCAAGCTGTGAAACACTTAGGGAACGCGGAGCCCCTCCCCAACCAAAAGGGTTCCTTCTTCAGGGCCTCGACTGTATTTGGAAAGAGAAGAGCCCTCCACCTGTGCAGTAACTGCTTCGCACTTGTGCAAGTCAACTGCGGTGGCTCGTCCGATAGGCTCTCGGGCGCGAGCCCCTTTTCGAAGCCGTCCCCTCCATCCGTGGGGCGGGCGGCTCTTGCCAGAACGGATCGGTGCGGCGCCGAAAGAGGACTCGGCCCTGCGATGCACGCCTGGAGCCACGCCAAGGCTGAACCTAAACGGTGTTTTCCGTTTTCGTTTTGGTGTCGTTTCCCCTCGTTTTGTCTTCAGTCCACCTCGACCGCAAAACGAGGTCGAAACGACAACGGCCCACGACATCGCCAAAACACCGTGTAGGTCCAGCCCTGAGTCACGTGCCTGCTCAAGCGGGCGGCAGCTCACATCGAGCGCAAGGCGCCTCGAACGAGGGGGATGACCACGACGAGAAGGAGGACGGCGCAGACGACGACGACGGCCTCGGTCCCGTCCTGGAGTGCGTCCTGGCCAGAACTTTGGGACGGATCTAGCCGTGGCATAGGATGCGACCCCGTAGTCCCCCGAATGCCTACAGCATGCAGCATGCCGACGACGACGACAACGACGACGACAACGACAACGACGTCGACGGAGACGACGACGTCGACGACTGCCGACGTCCTCTGGACCACCTGCATGCCAGAGGCCGCGGGTGTTTCTGCGAGGTCCAGAAGCGCCCGAAAACCGCCATCCTAGTTCGAAGCTCGTCCTCCAACGACGACGTCGAGCCTTTGAGAACCTTCGAGAATCTCCGAGATAATTCGAACATAGACACCCTTCGAACTTCGTTGTCGACCTGCGTTCCGAGAGCGTGCTGGCCAGAACCTCGGGGAGAAGTAGACCAGGCACGTGCTTCTACAGGCGGGTTTCGGAAGACAACCCAAACATAGTCAAACAATGCATCCAACTGATCAACACATAGAATAAATCGTCCCCAGACTATCTTTTATGATTCTCGAATATTCCTCTTGTAGTTGAAGGGGCCCCAGGACACACAAATACATACACACAAATAAACATATTCCCCATATGTTCCTATATGTTCTGGGTTTTGTCTTCCCCCCCACTTCCCATATTTTCCCATATTTTCCTGGAATCGACGATTCATTGTGTCTGTGTGTTTTTTCCCTCCTGAGATATGCCCGACCTAAGGGGAGAAGCCAACCGTGGCTGTGAGGGCGCCCATGGGAGGCTCAAGGACGGCCCCCAACGAAAGATCCGACATCGAGGCCAACGACCACGGCGGCGACACCGACGCCGCCTATCCGGACTTCGGCGTCGACAACCACGAGACCACGACGTCGACCCAACGACCACGGCGGCGACATCGACGCCGCCTGTCCTGACTTCGGCGCCGACAGCCACGAGACCACGACGTCGACGCGAATGGCGACGACGGCGACGACGACGACCACGAATGACGACGACGGTGACGACGACGACCACGAAGACGATGGTGGCGACTGCGACGACAACTTCCGACGTCGTTCTCTCGAGCCCGGAGGCCCTCGAAACACGACGACGACGGCGACGACAGCGACGACTCTGTCCGAGGCTTTTCTGCTCTGTGTATGCTTACGCTTTTGTTCGTGGCGTTTTTTTATGTTTTTTCGGGGATGGACAGACCTCCCTTTAGTATAACGTGGTTTAGTGAAACCGACCTGAGGCCCAAACCTGGCGGGCGCAAGCCTGGAATATAACGTCCGCGGCGCCCTCTCGAGAACCGAAAACGGACAATTCACTAATCGACGTGTCACTGTTGGGGGTTCTGTCCACCCCCGACTTTTTCTCTCCGGATAGAAGATGGCCGACGACGAACGGCCGAGCGGACACCGCGACGGCCAGCGGCGGCGGCGGCGCCCGAGGCCCGCCTCCTCCGCGGCCCGGGCGGCCTCCGCGCGCGTGGCCGCGCCGGAGGCCTCCGCGCGCTCCGCCGCCGCCGCCGCCGCCCATGCCGCGGGTCGCCGCCGCCGCCGTCGTCGCCGTCGCTGTCGTCGCGGGTCGTCGCCGCCGCCGCCGCCGCCGCCGTCGCCGTCGTCGCGGGTCGCCGTCGTCGCCGTCGTCGTCGTCGTCGTCGTGGTCGTCGTCGCCGTCGCCGTTGGTCGTCGTCGCCGTCGCCGGCGCCGTCGTCGTCGCCGTCGCCGTCGCCGTCGCCGTCGTCGTCGTCGTCGTGTTCGTGGCCGCGGCCGTGATCGTCGTCGCCGTCGCCGTCGTTGCGGGAGGGGGGGGGGCCATCGTGGCGGGGGGGCGCGCCGCGCCGCGGCCGGCTTCGCGAACCCCCCACGTGGAGCGTCGTCGTCGTCGTCGTCGACATTCGAGGATTGATGTGCGGCAGTTTTCGAATATGAAGGGGCCCTGGGACACACAAATAAGTACACTCAAATCAATGAATTCCCAATATTTTTCCAACATCTTCTGGGTTTTAGTCATCCCCCCAACTTCCCATATTTTCCCATATTTTCCAGGGAATCGACGATTCATTGTGTCTGTATGTTTTCTTCCCTCCTGAGAATAGTTCCGCCGGTGCTCGGATATCTGAAATTCACGATGTTCCTGGAAGCTCCCGCAGGTCTTTCAAGGATTTCGCCCAGGTTCTCGCAACGAGATTCGCAAGTGTTCGAATGTGTTTCGCCGTGTCCACCACATTGTTCCCAACCATCCTGTGGTGTTGGGTCTTCGTTTTGAAGAGACAGCGCCCCGCGTTCCTCTCCTCGCCTCTCCTCTCCTGATCCCTCTCCTCCTCCTCCTCCCTCCTCCCATCCCTTGCCTCTGCCCTCCGCATGTTTCTGTGTCGGCACATCCCTCACACGTTTCGTGGCCCCATAGGGAGCTCCACCGAAGGCCCCAGTGGCAGGGTTCGCATGGCGCCCCGCCCAATTTCGGCACACCCCTCACACGTTTCGTGGCCCCACGGGGAGCTCCACCGACGGTCCCTTGGCAGGGTTCGCATGGCGGCCCCGCCCCATTTCGGCACACCCCTCACACGTTTGTGGCCATATAGGGAGCTCCACCGAAGGCCCCAGTGGCAGGATTCGCATGGCGCCCCCGCCCCATTTCGGTACACCCCTCACACGTTTGTGTCCCCACAGGGAGCTCCACCGAAGGGCCCAGTGGCAGGGTTCGCATGGCGGCCCCGCCCCATTTCGGCACACCCATCACACTTTTCGTGGCCACATAGGGAGCTCCACCGAAGGCCCCAGTGGCAGGGTTCGCATGTCGCCCCGCCCAATTTCGGCACACCCCTCAAACGTTTCGCGGCCCCACGGGGAGCTCCACCGACGGTCCCTTGGCAGGGTTCGCATGGCGGCCCCGCCCCATTTCGGCACACGCCTCACACGTTTGTGGCCATATAGGGAGCTCCACCGAAGGCCCCAGTGGCAGGATTCCCATGGCGCCCCCGCCCCATTTCGGCACACCCCTCACACGTTTGTGTCCCCAGAGGGAGCTCCACCGAAGGGCCCAGTGGCAGGGTTCGCATGGCGGCCCCGCCCCATTTCGGCACACGCCTCATACGTTTGTGGCCCCATAGGGAGCTCTACCGAAGGCCCCAGTGGCAGGATTCCCATGGCCGCCCCGCCCCATTGCGGCACATCCCTCACACGTTTCGTGGCCCCCTCCACTGGAGGCCCCAATGGCAGGGTTCGCATGGCGGCCCCGCCCCATTTCGGCACACGCCTCACACTTTTCGTGGCCCCACGGGGAGCTCCTCCGAAGGCTCCAGCGGCAGTGTTCGCATGGCGGCCCCGCCCCATTGCGGCACACCTCTCACACTTTTCGTGGCCCCCTCCACCGGAAGCCCCAATGGCAGGGTTCGCATGGCGCCCCGCCCCATGTCGACACAGCAAGGTTCGCATGGCGGCCCCGCCCCATTTCGGCACACCCATCACACTTTTCGTGGCCACATAGGGAGCTCCACCGAAGGCCCCAGTGGCAGGGTTCGCATGGCGCCCCGCCCAATTTCGGCACACCCCTCACACGTTTCGTGGCCCCCTCCACCGGAGGCCCCAATGGCAGGGTTCGCATGGCGCCCCGCCCCATCTCGACACACCCATCACACGTTTCGTGGCCCCATAGGGAGCTCCACCGAAGACCCAAGTGGCAGGGTTCGCATGGCGGCCCCGCCTCCATTGCGGCACACCTCTCACACGTTTCGTGGCCCTATGGGGGACTCCATCGAAGGGCCCAGTGGCAGGGTTCGCATGGCGGACCCGCCCCATTTCGGCACACACCCCGCACGTTGCGTGGCCCTATAGGGAGCCTCACTGCAGGCCTCTCCGGCAGGGTTCGCATGGCGGCCTCGCCTCCATTTCGGCACACCCCTCACACGCCTCGCGGCCCTATATAGAGCTCCACCGAAGGCCCCAGTGGCAGGGTTCGTATGTCTTCCCTGCCTATTTTGACACAACCCTTGCATGTTTCGAGGCCCATAATTAGGTAGCTCCGCCGAAGGCCCCAGGGGCAGCGCCCGCATGCGTCCCCCAGCCCACACTTTTCAAGGTTCCCATCCGCGATGCCCCGTGCTCCATCACTCTCGCGGCGCGCTGCCTATGATGAGACGGACATATCCTATGTTACTCGCAGCTGCATGTGGTTGCATCCATGTGGTTTCAAGGTTTCCATTGCTTTGGACGATGATCTGAATGTCTCGGAGGTTCTCGAAAGCTCGTCGTTGTCGACGTCGACGTCGTGGTCATCGATCTTCGATCTTTGGTGCAGGAACCCTGCTGAAATGGTCGTGCAAGCACAAGGCTAGTTTTCAAAGATAGTGCGCCCTTGCGACCACGGCTGGATCCTTGAGATTCTGGCCAGAGCGCACCCCTGGTTCCCTCCCACGTCCCAACTATCCGCAGCCGCGCCTCTTGGCACGGAATGGAGCTGTCCTCAGGTCATTTGCCTAATCTTAGGTCGCGCATATCCCCCTACAGGCGGGTTTTGGACGGCAAATAAAAATACCCTCCAACTATTCAATAATGAATAAACATGCTCAACAAATCGTTCCCAGACTATTGTTTGGATCTTGGAATATTCCTCCTGTAGAGGGACAGGCCCGACTTAAGCCTACTCCCTGATGCCTCAGTCCTCAAGCCTGAGGAGTCTTTCCAGCCGGTACGTTATCGTAAGGATGTGCGATAAGGATGCAAGGGCCTCGGGCGCCCATCTCGAAGCTTTTTGAGCGGGGCGCGGCCAGCGAACGTGGCAAAGGATGGACCGGGGAGGCAAGGATGCAAGGGTACCCTTGGGAAGGTTGCCCATCCTTAGTATGCGGGTTGACTGTAATCCTGGATGCTTGGGTCCTCAAGCCCGAGGAATCTGTGAGGGGCCAAGGGCTCAACTTGCCAGCTTTGGCGGGGCTTCCCGCGTCGTGCCGCAGCTTCTCGCGTGAATGTTCTTCGGAGCCTTCAAGAGCCCCACAACGGGCCAAGAAGGCCCCAAGGCGACTCCCAAGATGCTCCAAGAGGGCTTCCAGGCGCGTGAAGATCGCCCCAAGACGCCCAAGGATGGCCTCAAGAGGGTCCAAGAGGCTTCGAAGACGTCCCAAGACGGTCCAAGGGCCCCAAACGGCAAACAACAGTTATTCACTATAGGTTTTTGAAGGATTTTGGCCTTCTCGCCTTTTCGGCTTCCAGACGCTCCAAGACTGCCCTAGAGGCCCCCAAGATCTCCCCAAGACGGCCCCAGAGGCACTCAAGGGGGCCCCAAATACGGCCCAAGAGGGCCCCAAGACAACCCAAGAGGCGCCCGCTCCAAGAGGGGTCCCAGATGGGGAGCCCAAGCGGACACTTCGAGCCCTCGGCTCCGAGGGGCTCCCAGGAGGCCCCGAGAGGCCCCCACCCAAGAGGCCCCCAAGAGGCCCCCAAGAGGCCCCCAAACTGCCACCCAGAGGCCCCCGAGAGCGCTCCGAAGAGACTCCGAGAAGCATCCCTGAGAACCCTGCCCCACAACGCAGGCACGGAGGGGTCGCTTGAGGCCTGAGCCGTCAAATGACAGAAAATTCAAAAACGACATGCCAGCCTCCAGAGTTGACACTCAAGTGACGAAAAAACCTTGTGACAGGTGAAATGGCGCCGTGAAGCCCTGGACTGGATGAACAGATATGGGCGATGCGAGCTGTGGGAACCTGTGTGCCAAATTGCACCGAGATGCACCGAGACGAACCGCACTGAACCCTGCTCTCTGAGAGGTCGAACGACCGCCCGGAATTCGGCAAGAAACCGCCCAAGGCGCATGAGGAATCATGGGCACTTGCCCTAAGGGGCCGGGAGCGCGGCACCGCACTCAACCTGCCCGCCAAGCCTCCCAGAGCTAGGCGGCGAGCGGAGGATGGGTCCTGGGGCACACATTGAGGGCGTATTTTCCCGACGCGCGAACGTCTGCATCGGACCAACCGCTTTCGCCCATAAACTTTCCCCCCCCCCCCCTGAATACTGTCATGGCCAATTTCTCAAACAACACCCAGCCGCCACTAAAGGTAAGGACGGCGGGGAAGAGGCCCAGACGAGGGAGGGAGGGGGAATGCCCGCGCGCCAGGGAGGGGGGCCCAGCGAGGATCCAAGGAATCCGCGCGGAGCGCTAAAAGTTTATGTTTATGTAGTTTTTTTTGTCGAGAGAAATGGTGGGCCTTCTCAGAAGGCTCGGAACTGCCCCAGTCTTGTGAGAAGTGTCCCAAGCCTTCCCCGAAGGCGCGAGGGCTTCTGAGAAGTCCCGCCGCCTTCCGAGAAGGCTGTCTCCTTCTCACTTCCCCCCCTCGCTCGCCGCCGACAGATACCCGACGTACGGCCGGACCTGGGACAGACGCGCATCCCTCAAGAACGTCAGACCCTCCGCTGGTCCAACTGACGAGCGTTCGAGGGTCCCCTCCCTCAGGCTGCACGAGGACATCCAACGAACACGACGAACACGACGAACACCAGGGCACCCTCCCCGAACCGACCTCGATCTTGCACCCCGGATCGACCGCAGGGGCGACCGCTACATCGTGCTGGCGCAGGAAGCGCCGACTGAGGAGCGGAGGGGCGATTCCAGCACCGCCGAGCCGCCGCCGCGAGCAGGTTCCCCGACCCAGATCTGTAGGGAGCGGCCCGACAACACCGGTGCCCCTCCCGAGCACGTGCACCGGGGAAGGGCGGGCGGCATCATGTTTGTGACGCTCTGCCTGCACGCTCGACTCCGCAAACCTGAGTATCTTGCGCGAGATCGTCTATTTCCTGCTGGAACGTGGACCAAAATGCGCTAAACTGCTATGCGCGGGGGGGCTATCGCGCTACGCTCTGCACCCCCGTGCGAGAGTGTCCACACACCATCGTGGCAAGAAGCTTCACTTGCACCAGGGTGTGTGACGCAAAACTTCCGTCCTGAGCCCAATGCGGCCTTTATCTCAGCGTCATGACTGCTCATAACTTACGCGGATCGGATCCCCAGAGGCCTGGGAGGAGTAGGAGGAGGAGGAGGAGGAGGAGGAGGAGGAGGAGGGAGAGGGAGAGGGGCCTGGGCCTCTTCCTGGGGCCCGGACCTCCGTTTTGGACGCCCGAAATGGGTATGGAAAAAATGGGCACAATGCCCAACAACAAATGTTGTCCAAAACCGACAGCGGCCGCTGTTGGGCAGGTGGCTTCTTGTCTTCAATGAACAAAGTCCGCGGCGGCGTTGTCAGCGAGTCCTGTTTAAAATGAACAGGAACAGCTGTTGGGCATCGTACCCATTATTTCTGTATCCATTCCGATCGTCCATCTTGGGTCCTTCCTTGACGGCCCCGGGGCTGGGCGAGGGTCCCAGGAGGCCGAGAACTGCCCAAAACCGTCCGCCGTGACTTCCTCACGACGCCAGGGCGGCTGGGAGCGCCCGCGTGTGCACAGCATGCCCCCAGTGCACTGCAATGTTCGGTCGGGCATGTCCTCCTGCAAGCGGACTTTTGGACGAACACAAATCACAATTCCGTAAGGCATACATGCATGAACAATCGACAACAGTCACAGAATCGTCCACAGACTCTGTTTGTGGAGTATTTTGGCGTAGTCCGCCCTATAGACCCAGAAGTGCGACGTCCTGATTGTTTCAGGAAGGCGTCCTTGGAACTCCCGACCCTTTGCCCGGGACCGGTTTTTCGTCCTGAGTCTTGTTGTTGACGTGCCCGGGGGCTGGCGAGGGCCCCCCGAGGCCGAAAGTAGCCCAAAACCTCCCGTCCTGACTTATGTTACAACGCGATCATGTCTGGGGAAGGACAAGCCCGACTCAACCCTAGTGCTAAGTCGGGCCTGTCCCCCTACAGGCGGATGTTGGACGAGAAATAAAACATAGTCAAACAATACACCCAAAATAGTCAAACATGGTACACATGGTACAACAAAAAGAACGTACCAGGTTTTGCTGTGACTATGTTTGAACATTCCCCCTGTAGAGGGATAGGCCTGACTCAACCCTAGAGGTGGCCGACGGAGGGCGCCCAGCCCGGGCGCGCCTCCAGCCGGGACACCTCGCGCATGGCCGCCGCCGCGCGCTCCTCGGCGCGCGCGCGCGCGCGCTCGCGCCGGGCCGTGCCGCGTCTCGCTGCGCTTCGGCGGCAGCAGACGGCACACCGGCGGTGGCCTCTCTCCCCCCAAACCCTTCGGTCGGGCCTGTCCCCCGACAAGGTGATTTTGTACGAAAACTCGAAAATACTCAAAACATTGCCCCGAAAATTCGAGAAAACATACTCAACACATCGTCCCCAGACTATTTACCTAACAGCTTTTGCTGATAGGTTTCTAGTGGTGTCAAAAGAGAGCATCTGGACTCCACAGGGGGGTCTGGGCGGGTGCCGGGGAGGAGGGCCGGGAACAGAGCCGGGCTCGTTTTAAGCCAACAGTCACACACTTCGTGCTCTTCGACCTCCCAGAACTCCATTCCCGGGCCACATTTTGAATAACCGGAGCCAACTGTAGGCCACTTCGTGCTCTTCGACTTCCCAGAACTCCATTCCCGGGCCACATTTTGGATGCCCGGAGCCAACTGTAGGCCACTTCGTGCTCTTCGAGTTCCCAGAACTCCATTCCCGGGCCACATTTTGGATGCCCGGAGCCAACTGTAGGCCACTTCGTGCTCTTCGAGTTCCCAGAACTCCATTCCCGGGCCACATTTTGAATGCCCGGAGCCAACTGTAGGCCACTTCGTGCTCTTCGAGTTCCCAGAACTCCATTCCTGGGCATGATTTTGAATGCCCGGAGCCAACTGTAGGCCAAGGCTGAGGCAGGCTGAGGCTGAGGCAGGCTGAGGCTGAGGCTGAAGGCAGACTGAGGCTGAGGCTGAAGCAGACTGAGGCTGAGGCTGAGGCTGAGGCAGGCTGAGGCTGAGGCTGAGGCAGGCTGAGGCTGAGGCAGGCTGAGGCTGAGGCTGAGGCTGATGCAGGCTGAGGCTGAGGCAGGCTGAGGCTGAGGCCGAGGCTGAAGGCAGACTGAGGCTGAGGCTGAAGCAGGCTGAGGCTGAGGCTGAGGCAGGCTGAGGCTGAGGCAGGCTGAGGCTGAGGCTGAGGCAGGCTGAGGCTGAGGCTGTGACTGCGACTGCCGTTGCCGCTGCGACTGTCATCGCGAATGCGACTACGACTGCGAGAACAACAGAATTCTACAACTGGATTCTCATCTGAATCTTAAGGGGAATGCTTCCAGATATGCTCCTACACATCGCTGTTAGGTTGCTTTGCCGGGATAATTTTTTAACGATTTTGAATGCTCCTCCTGTAGAGGGACACGCCCGACCTAACCACACCCCCTCGAGCCATGACCAAAACAACCACGGCGCACGGCTTTCCGCCATCTTTCGGGAGCGGCCAAGAGGGGGGTGTCCAAGAGCGGGGGGGTGCAAATCATGACCGGCGGCATGCGCGCGGCCCAGCGGGGGGGCCAGGGACGTAAGGAAACGAGAGGAGGCGCCCTGAAATCTGGGGAGATATCATGGCCCCCGCCATGATATCCCCCCCCCCCTAGTCATCCCCCCCCTCTGTTCCGCCCCCGAGCCATCTTCGGCCTCGGGGGGAGGGCCTCCCCGGGCCCCGGGAGGCCCCGTGGGGAGACGGGGCCTCCCGGGGCGAGGGGCCGGCCCTGCGGGGGGGGGGGAAGCGGGTCGGGACCTCCGGGGGTCGACGCTCCCGGAGGGATCTCGCGGCGTCGGGGGCCTCTGCTGGGCCGCCGGGGGGCGCCCGCGGCCTGGCCCGAGGAGCGACGAGTGAGGCGCGAAGCGCCTTTTGTTCCCAAGGAGTCGACGCAGAAGGAGCGGTGCAGAATACACAACGCAGAAGGAACGGCATGCGCGCCTAAGGAACGACCGAGCCCGTTCTGAAACATCAGAACTCCCTTTTCAAGCCGCTCACTGTATGCGATGTCTGTCCATCCGCGGCCCCGGCCAAGAGCTCCCGACTCCTTCCCAGGGGGGGTGCCTTTGCGCCCTGGGTCCGCTTTTGCTGGCCCTGAGGCCCGATCCACAGCGGGCGAACTCGAGGAAAGCCGCCAGGATGGAACAAACAACGTATCGTCGGAGGCCCGTGCATGCTATCTCTTGGCGGCGAGCGAGGAAGGGAAAAGGAGCAGGCCTTCTCAGGAGGGTGCCTGACTTCTCAGAAGCCCTCGCGCCTTCTGAGAACTGTTCTGTATCTTCGGGGAAGGCTTGGGACGCCTCTTTGAGGGCCGGGGAACTTGGGAGCCTTCTGAGAAGGCCCGCCACTTCTCGCTTCCCGCCTGGGCGCGCCGCCGATTTTCTTCCGCCGACCTGCCTATGACTTTGGCCAGCGAGGCCGCTCTCGTCCTACGCCTCCGCGCCGCTCCCCGCGGGCCGTCCCGCAGGAGAGCGCTGCCAGATCCTCGACTCCAGGGCGGCGCGGCACTCGTTCGGAGCCGCCCGTTACCTGAGGCCGTCCCTCCTCTCGGGGGCGCAGATCCTTAGACCTCCGCCGTCCCAATGTTTCTGCCTCGATCTCGGCCCCTCGGGCCTGTTCCTGCGTCCCGGGACTATGGAAGACAGCTAGGGCCACGGACCACGACCTTCAACGTGCATTCGTGGCAACTTCCATGACAAGCATGCTGACTTGCCGTCTCGCAAAATTGCTATGCACGTCCACGTGTTGTTGCTAGGAACCCCTGCCTTTTCAAGTGTCCTTGAAACCTGACAGTGGACCGCGTGCGTGGGTACCTTTCTTCTTGAGAACTTCTTGGGCGCCTCCTGCGACGTCTTGGATCCCTCCCTGGGGGCGTTGCCGGCTATTATTGCAGAGTTTCTTAGGGCTCTCTGTGGGTAACCTTTGGTGCCTCTGGGGTCGTCCAGGGCGCGTGAAACCCTTTTGAACGTAGGCTGAAGGCGCGTTGGGAACCTTCTTGGGGCTCTCTTGGGGGCCTTCGTGGTGTCGCTAATGGGGGGCTCGTGCGCTCCCTGGGAGCCTTCCTGGAGGTTCGTCTCGATCGGGCAGGACTTGCGACACATCGGCGACAAGATCGGCTATCTGATCTGCATCCTGCACCAACCAACCACTTTTCTCCTGGGCCGACTGGATGCGGGGGTAGGGTTCGGATTTTCCGACGACCTCCGAATCCTACCCTCGCCGCACATCGAGTTGCCTGAATCGTTAATCGATGCGTAGATCGGCTACACGCCAGAGTGACCCTGGGCTGGTGGGCTTGTTTCCCTCCGCCACCACCATAAGTAGGAGGGGGAGAGAGGGTCCTCCTCCTCCCCCTTCTCCTCCTCCTCCTCCTCCTCCTCCTCCTCTTTCCCCCCTCCACCTTATGGTGGTGGTGGTGGTGGTGGAAAACAGGCCCACCATGGGCAAGAGAGCGATCTTTGGTGCGCGGCCTCGAGGGGGGCTGGCGGGGCGCCAAGTCCAAGCGTGCGGGCCAAGGCTCGGGGAGCCCCCGTGGTGGGCCCGCACCGGGAGGTCACTCTGGCGAAGGGCTGCGCCCTACAGGTGGCCGGACAGACCTCGCCGCCCCTCGCCATCGCTCGGACGTCCATTTCCCGTGCATGGTTCGGTCTCGTGCGTGCTTTTTTCGCTCGATGGTCCAGGATGGTCCTCAAGGGTCCTCGCCGAGAAAAAAATGCACACGTCCGAGCGATGCCAGGGCCCGAGGGGCCTGGAGGCGGCTGGGGGGGGCTGAGCTGGTCACCCCACAGAATCGGACAATCGGCGGTGGACAGACCTCCCTTCAGTAAACCACCCTTCAGTGAAAACGGCCTGGGACCGAAACCGACGGACCTGGACCCGCAAACCTGACGGCCGCGACGCCCTCTCGCGAACCAAAAACGGCCAATTCGGTAATCGACGTGTCAGGGTAGGAGGTTTATCAACCTCCGAGACAGGAGGGGGGATGAAACCAAATACGCTTATAATCTATCCCCGCACCCCTCCCAAGGTCCTTCTGGCGAGCTCATCGCCCCAGATCCGCTTTCCGACGGTCATGGGTCTCGAAAGCTGCCCCCATGATGCCGAACAGTAGTTTTCCATTGTTTCGAATCATGCCCACCCCTCCTGCCGACCCCTCCTGCTCGCTGAAACCAATGCTGGGCCACCCAGGGCCCCCAGCCGGCTCCAGCGCGGGAGCTTTCCTCGGCTCCGAGGCCGGGAAGCGCGAGAGATCTTCGGCACATCGTCACGGAGAGGGCGAAGAGCCAGGGCAATCGTGAAGGCCTTCCCCGCGAACGCCCCCAAGGACGAGTTCTGAGAACCCCCGCGTCTGATGCGCAAACTTTCCGCCACCACTACCATGTGTAGGACGGGGGAGAAGGGAGGATGAGGTTCTCCTTCTCCTCCTCCTCCTCCTCCTCCTCCTCCTCCTCCACCTCCTCCTCCTCCCTCGCCTACCTATGGTAGTGGTGGAAAATGGGCCCAGCACGCGTCGGTCGGTGGCTGCCGTGCCTGGCTGAAGCAACCGCCCGAGGCGGGGCCAAGCTCGACGCAGGTGGCGCCGGGCCGCGCCCTCTCCTCGCGCCCCGCGGCACGTATAGGACGAAGCCTGGGCGCTGGCAACATCGGGCGGCGACGGCACGAGGATCTCTGAGACCCGGCGGCTCTGGAGGGTGCCTCCTCCTCCTGCTCCTCCTGCTCCTCCTCCTCCTCCTCCTCCTCCTCCTCCTCCTTCTCCTCCTCCTCCTCCTCCTCCCCCTTCTCCTCCTCCTTCTCCTCCTCCCCCTTCTCCTTCTCCTCCTCCTCCTCCTTCTCCTCTTCTTCCTCCTCCTCCTCCTCCTCCTCCTCCTCCTCCTCCTCCGCACTACCCCCATGCCCACACATCCAGAGATAGGATTGGCGCCGCGGCCCTCTTAGAGCGCTCCGGGACGCTCTGAGAGCGCTCTGGAACGCTCTGTAGCGGATCGATCCCCGCCCTGGTCCCTTGCCGATGCTCCCCTCAGACCAGGGGCGACCGCCGGGGGGGGGGACGGGTTCAGGGGGGGGGCCATCGACTTGGACTCGGCGATGCATCGCCGCTAGACTGGGGATAGCCCCCCGATCACAAAAGCGGACGTTCCTGGGCGGGGCGGGCTATGCAGCCCCTATCGGCGAGGCATGGGCGATGGGGGGTCGATGCGGCCCCCCTGGGGCTCCCCCCCCCCCCCCCGCGAGCGTTTCCCGTTCTCCTCGTCCTGGCCCCGTCCGGCACAGCACACGGGAGCGCACGCGCGCCGCCCGAGCGCGCCCGTCCTCGGCGCACTGCGCCTTCCGGCGGCACCGCTCCTGCGCACTCTCGGCCGTGCGCCGGGCCTCCGGGCTGCGCGCGCGGGCGGGGGGGGGGCTGCGCCGAGGGCTGCGCGTGCAGCGGCGCGCCCTCCCTCCCCGTTCCCTCCCTCACTCCATCCCTCCCTCCCTCCTCCCTCCCTTCCTCCCTTCCTCCCTCCTCCCTTCCTCCCTCCTCCCTTCCTCCCTCCCTCCGTCCCTCCCCACCTCCCTCCCTCCTCAATACATTCCTCCCTTCTCCCTCCCTCACTTCTCCCTCCCTCCCTCCCTTCCTGCCTCCCTCCTTCTTCGTCGTCCCTCTCGGGGCGCTTGTGGCATGGCGTCGCCGAGGCTTCGGCGATGCATCGGCGATGCGGCGCGATCCTCCGACACCACCTGCTCGGACCCCATCTATGGGATACCTCTGCGGGGCAGGACGCCAGAGGAGGGAGGAGGACGAAGAGGAGGAGGAGGCGGAGGAGGAGCAGGAGGAGAGGGAGGGGAGGAAGAGGAGGAGGGGAGGAGGAGGGGGAGGAGGTGGAGGCCGAGGAGGACGAGGAGGAGGAGAAGGAGGACGAGGAGGAGGAGGACGAGGAGGAAGAGGAGAGGGAGGAGGACGAGGAGGAAGAGGAGGAGGAGGGCGAGGAGGAGAGGGAGGATGAGCCAGCCGTGCTGCGCTGAACAGCGGCGGCGCGATGGCGCGCCGCGCGGCGCCGTTGAGCGGTGGAGGGCGTCCAGGATGGCCTCGCGAGGCCCCACTTGGATAGCAGAGGGGAAGGAGGAGGAGGAGGAGGAGGAGGAGGAGGAGAAGGAGGAGGAGGAGGAGAAGGAGGAGGAGCAGGGGAGGGGAGAAAGGGGAAGGGTGGCAAAGGGCGGGCTATAGCGAACCAGCTCGCGCAGCCGGTTTCCCCGGCACCTCCTGGCGCCGCGAAAGCGCCCAGGCATCGAGGAAGGCGCCAGGGGGGCGGGGCCACAGAGTTCGTCAGCCCTCCCATTTCCGAATCCCCCCTCTCGTCCGACCCGATCAAGGCTAGGTCGGGGCACCAGCGGCAATGTCCCGATCGCTGGCCCACTGCGGGCCGAGAAGCACGAGAGTACTAACCCATGACTCCTCTCCGTTTTTCTGCCGCTGCCACGCACCTGTGATATTCGTGGGAAATCGCACGTTCGCTCAAGATTTCGCCCAGTTTACGAAAGAATCGCGTTCTCGCTCAAGACCTCCTCGCGATGTCTTCAGGATCCGCGCTCTCGCTCGGCACTTCCTGGCGGGTTGCTCGGGAATCGCGCTTTCGCACGAGACTCCCTCGCAATTTTCTCAGGAACAGCGCTCTCGTCCCAGGCTGTCCAGCGAGTTACTCAGGAACCGCGTTCTCGCTCGAGACTCCCTCTCGATGTAGTCAGGACGTGCGCTTTCGTTTTACCCTACTTGCCCTTGTGCTCAGGAATCGCATTCTCGCTTGAAACCTCGTCGCGGTTGTCTAGGGAACCGCGCTCTCGCTTGAGACTTCCTTCCATTTGATAGAGGCATCGCGCTCTCGCGCGCGACTTCCTTGCGCTTTATTGAGGAATCGCACTCTCGCGCGAGATTTCCACGCGATTCAATGAAGACATTTGTTTGGTAAATGACTCGCGCTTTGGCATGAGTCTTCCCTGACTTGCGCAGGAATCGCGCTCGCGCTCGAGACTGCATCCCACTTCACTAAGGAATTGCACTCTCGCTACAAGCGTCTTGCGACGTACGCAAAAATCGCGATCTCGTCTGTTCCGGCGGATTTCGTAGTGTTCAGTGTGTCCTTGGGGTTCCATTATCTCTGATCGGGTTCCCAAACAAAGACCCTCAGGATTTTCGACGGATTCCTTATGCTGCCTCTGGGTTCCCGCGGATTCCTGCGTCTCCTCAATTCCAACGACTTTATCACGATTCCGGCCCTGCGGTTTTTATGGCCTGCTGACGATTCCAAACAAGACTCTTGAGGATTCCCAGCTTGATTCATATTTATTCCCATAGATCCTTCTGGATCCCTACGGATGATTGCTGATTCCTGATGATCCCTGAAGGAGCAAAGCGTATTCCTCAGGGGTGATGCTGATGATGCTGATGCTGATGCTGGTGTTGATGCTGGTGGTGGTGCGGCTGGTGCTGAGCACGATGATTATTTGCGTGAGGATGATGATTATGTTGATGGTGATGATGAGAACGCAGGTGACTATGATGACGGTGATGATGATGAGTATGGTGGGCCTGATGAGGATGATGACGATAATGGTGGCGATAGCGATGGTGATGACGATGGCGCGTATGCGGATGATGCCGGTGACGACGAGGATAGTGGTGACGCTGATGAGGAAGATGATGGTGATGATGATGAGGATAATGATGATAGCGGCGATGTGAACGAGGTGGAGCAAGGGGGGGAGGAGGAGGAAGAGAAGGAAACGCAAGCTTCTCATGCATGGCGCCCCGTACTTCCAGGCTTGAGGATAGCTGTTATCATGACGGTGAATGTTATGAAGGCGATGGGGGGCAGTGGTGACGATAATGATGGCCGTGATGCTAATGATGGTGAAGGTTGGGATGGGCATTCTGGCGATGATGATGGTGGCATTACTGGTCTGATGCCGGTGCCAATGCTGGTGCGGATGACGGTGGCGATGCCGGTGATGGTCATGGTGACGATGGTGGTGGCAATGATGGTGACGGCGATGGTGATGCTGATGATGCTGATGACGATGGTGATGATGGCGACGGTACTGTCGGCAATGATGGTGTTGGTGATGATGCTGTTCGTGATGGTGGAAGGTGGTGATGATGGGAATACTGATTGGGATGCTGGGGGGTGGGGGGTCGAGTGTTGTTGCGATAGTAGTGATGGTGGTGGTGATGCTGGTGATACTGATGGCGATTGATGATGTTGATGATGGCGAGGCTGATGCCGATGATGATCAAGGCGGGGCGGATGGCGAGGAAAAAGGAAGAGAATTCGGACGCGGAAGAAGAACACAGTCCCACGAAGAACCTCTTATTTTGAAACTTACAATCACGGTAATGAAGATGCCAGGTATGATGATGACAATGTTGACGGGTATACTATGACGGCGACGACAGTGCGGATGATGATGGTGCTGATGGATCGCGACCGCGAATGTGACGATGATGGTCATAGCGACGGAGAAGATTGCGTTGCAGATGATGGTGCTGAAGCGGCGGCTGCTGATGATGGTGATGATGGCAACGGCACTCGGGGTGTTAGTGACGGTGGTAATGCTGGCCATGGCGATGAGGGCCATGGTGGTGCTTTTCGTGATGATGGTTGTGGTGGCGCTGATGATGGGTACGAGGGAGGACGGGGTGAGCAGGCAGAGCAAGAGGAGGAGGAGGAAGAGGAAGAGAAGGAGGAGGACGAAGCTGGCTGTTACGTCTGCCACCTTGAATCTCGAGGCGCTGGGGAGCCGTGATGAAAGTCATGGAGGTTATGGGAATGATAGTGGTGATTCTGATGGAGATGCTGCTGCTGATGGTGATGGTGAGGATGATGGTGGTGAGGATGGGTGATGTTGGAATCGGTTGTGGCCATGGTGATGGCGACGGCAAGGGAGAGGAAAAAAGAAACAGAGCGGAACACGGGGGAAGGCCGTCACATGGAACGCGTCGTACCCCAATGCCTGGGAACACCGTGACCAAGATACGGGCGATTCTGGGGGTGTCCGGGGTGATGATGGGGATGGTGATGATACTGGCGATGATGGTGATGATGATTCTATTGGTGCTGGTGCTGCTGACGATGGCGGTGGCGGTGGTGGTGATGATGACGAGAAGGAAAAGCAACAAGAGGATGAGTAAAAGGAATGACGTCTCATGGGGCACCTTTCGTATATACGGTGTGAGGAGGTCTCATGGGTCTCGTGTGGGCCCTTCACTTCGAATTCCGCACTACGGGTCCCTTACTAAGAATCCATGACAAAGAGGAACCCTGACTAAAGGCTGCAGACGGATGGTTATTTTACTGACGGGTTCGTTACTCAAGATCCCTTGCTAAGAATTCCGTGCTAAGGCTACTAGTTCAACACACTCGAAGAAGGATCTCTTATTCAAGGCCCTTTCGTCAGGATCATCAAGTATGTCTTTATGAGGATCGCAATATAAGGGTTCCGTATTAAAACGGACCCCTCACCTGGAATTCCTCAATACGGTGTCCCTAATCACGAAAAATGTCGAAGTATCCTGTGTCCAGAATTTATCTGTAAGGGCCGCTCGCAAATAATCCTGATTCATGGTTGCCAAATGGGTACTCATTACTTACAGCCTCTGTTCTACGATTTCCTGACTAGGGGCACCTTGCTGAGAATTCCTGGCTGAGGACCCCCTTGCCAAGGACCCCTTGCATAGGAATCCTCACGAATGGCTTGTTTGGCATGGGAATCATGGTTGAGGGTTCCTTACATGTATGCCGCACGAAGTATTCCTTACATAAGGGCGACCTTACTAATGAATTCTGGTTAAGGATTCGTTACGCAGGATTCCCATCGAATTCTTCAGATAGAGCCCCGATTACAAAGCGTCCCGTATCGCGGACTCCTCATTAAAGACTCCTTACTCAAGACTAAAGGGTTCCCGATTCAGGATTCTGGGAGTTCGCTTCAAACAATCCCATACGAAGAATTTCTTGGTAAGGGTTCCCCAAAGAAGAATCCTTGCTCCTTTATTCTCTGGTGGTTCATGAATTTATACCCGCCCCGTGCTTCGAATTCCGTGCTGCAAACTTCTCAATAATTACCCATGCCTCAACATCCCGTGTGTAGAGATTATTCGTAGCAACGCAATAATACGGAATCCGTTATGCTGACTCTGAATGCCTACATGACTCACGATCATTTGTTCAAGAACCCTTTCTTAGGAATGCTTACGAGACTGATTCCCCAATCAGTGCTTGCACTGAAGGGGTCCTCGCGGAAATTGAAGGATTTGGCGAAAATTTCCTGCCGATTTTGGTCGCACGCTGGTTCCCAAGTTCCCGGTTCCGGGTTCCCGGGTTCCCGGTTCCGGGTTC